TTTCTCAAAACAATTTCAAGAATCTTTTAATTTTTTTGGACCAAAAGACATTTCTGACTCTAAATTTCTAAAAATGCTCAAGTGTTTTTAAAAGTCAACATCTGATGTCTTAACTATACAAATTTGAACGTGCAGTATCTCAAAAGAATTTATGGATCAGAAAAACTGGAATTTGAGCCTATCCATTTAACCAGCCGTGGGCAAGTTATGTAACTTTCAAGCGTAAAGTTTTCTTTAGTAAAAATGAGGCTAACACCACCTGTTTTGCAAGATTATTGAAAGGATTAAACAAAACATTGAGGTGATGGGAAGGAACCTAGTAGGTGCCCAGTAATTATCTTCTTTGTCCCATAGAAACAATGTTATACATAATATACATTCTGGGTCAGCAGTTTGCAGATCAGCTGAACAAAAATGCTATTTAACTCTCACATACTTAGCTATAGAGCCAATCAAACTCAATCAACTATGAAAGGGCAGAATAGGAAGTATTATTACAGAGCACTGGTAGCTTAGTGGTTATGAGTCAGGCTGCCAACCTCAATGTTAGCAGTTCAAAACTACCAGTGGTTCTGCAGGAGAAAGATGAGGTGTTCTGCTCCTGTAAAAGATTTACAGCCTCGGAAACCCTGTGCAGGGTCACTATAAGTCAGAACCGACCCCACGGTACTTAACAACAACATCAAAATAGTGAAAGCCCTAGCCCTATCGGCAAGGCAACTGTGATAGGGGTGATGGACTATGGGTGTTCAGGTCTGTAGGAAGACTCTGGGTGTTCTCTCCCCTTGCCTCAGGGTTACTCACAGAATTGCCATGACAGCTTGGATTGATAAGAAAGGAAGGAAAAGAAGCAAAAACTACAAGAAAGGGGGTGACGAGAAGAGAAGAGACAGGAATAAAACCTCAAGCTCAGCACTGGGGACAGAAAGAAAATCCATGTGGCAAAGAAACTTAAAAGATTTTGAGAAGCGCATATTAAGCTTTCTTGTTTCTGGTACAAACCACCTTATTATTACAGTACTGTGACAGGCTCCTAACCAATCTCTCCCTCCAGACTTTGCTTCCTCAAAATTTACCCTACGTACCACCAACAGTGCTAACATTCCTACAGCATACCTTCATCTTATAATGCCCACTCTCAAGAACCTATGAGAACACTAAATCACCTGATGGATCAAGTTCATACTCTCAACCTAGTAGTAAAGCCTTTGAAAGTAATTCAAGTCAGCAACAACATTGCCAACTATGTGTAAAGTTGTACCAGAGGGAAGATGCAAGTAAGACTTGTAAAGAGAAAACGTGTGAACACGCAGAAGAAGAAGGAATCCAGTAAGTGAAACTTTCAATGAAGAAAAGTTCAATTCCAACCAGGGAGAGATAATACCTTGATTCATGAAGGAAGTGACACCTTCCAGGTTTTGAAAGTGTAGTAGGACTTCAAAAATCAGATGGGTGAAATGGACATTTCCAAGTGGCACAGTTACAAGGGCAAATATAGAGGCATGATGTGTTCAAGTAAATGCAGTCTAGTGGGGCTGGATCCCTTACTCCCTCTCTCTTTCCCACATCACATTGTAGTTAATAGACAATCTTGAGTCAGACTGCCTGGTTCAAGTCCTGGCTCCACCACTTAGCACCCTGGAGGACCATGGTCAAGTAAACATAGTCATTCCATGTCTCCATTTTCACAAATATATAATTGTGAAAAAATAATGACAACGCTGATTTCTTAGTGTCGCTGTGAGGATGAATTGAGACAATACACATAGTCACAGCTGCTTGGCAAATGATAAGCACTCAGTGAGTGTTAACTTTATGGCACTTTGGGGTCAGTCAAGAGGGACCTCAGTGCTGCCCTGAGTGTTTCGACTCAATTCGCTAGTCCACAGAGAGCTACTGGGGTTTCTGAGAAGAGAATATACCAAGTCTGGGCTAGCACCAGGAGCCCTGGTGAGCAGGTCCACTACGGTGCAGTTCGCCATGCCTCAAAGGCAGTGGTATGGTCTTTAGTTTAACCCTGGCACCAGGCAGGTTCCTCTAGTGTGGGCCTTGTGCAGAATGCACAAAAACTGTATGACTATTTATAAAATAGGAGTCCTGGTGGTGGTGCAGGGAGTAAGTGCTTGACTGCTGCTAACCGCAAGGTCAGTGGTTTGAACCCCCAGCTGTTCTGTGGGGGAAAGATGTGGCAGTCTGATTCTGTAGAGATTGCTGCCTTAGAAACCCTATGGGGCAGTTCTACTCTGTCCTTTAGAGTCCCTATGAGGCAGAATCAATTCAACAGTCATGGATATTTACAAACATTTGCATTGACAAATGAAAGGGCCTGAAGTAAAGTAGAGGAAGCAAGAATAAAAGGAATCAATCTAAGGGAGATTCTGAAGGTAGAAATGAAAGCTGATGACCAGCCAAAGTACAAGGTAAGAAGGAGAATGAGGACCTGAAAAAAACCAACACATCTTAGATGTGTACCCAAACAGTATTTTTAATTTTGGTATTCTCTGAATTAGAATGATTATACTTAAATATAAGTTTGAGGGAGCATTGCAGAGTACCATTTACATACTGCAACTCAGCTTTTTTACTGAAATTGCATCCTTTCTCCCAAATCAGCAAATTCCTAGCAGTACAGAAATGAACAAAACACACCAAGCAACTCAGAGGTAAGTATGTCAGCGTATGAATTCCATTGTTTAGAATTCCATTGGCTCTACTTGTTAAGTCGTCTAATTTTGCTTGGTGGAGTGCATTTCAAGTTTGGTGACAAAGGAGCGTCGCAAATCCCTTAATGATGAAACCTGAAACCATGCCATGGTAATTTAGGCTCCTCTGACCACTAATAACCGAGTGCACACCCACTCACCACACTTAGGCTTAACTCATGGACGCAGTCTGCTGCCACCCCAAGGTAGGCACCACCACCAGCAAAGGATATATTAAATTGGGTGGTTTTGCTGCTTGAAAAGATGAAAGCAAACACTAGAATCCATAACACAAGAAGACACTTTGCTTCTGTTTTTATTATTTCTCCATTAGTATCTCCTGTTCCCCATATACAAGGCAGACTGTTGTTAAGTGCCATCGAGTCAGTTCCGAGTCATAGTAACCCTGCATAGGGTTTCCAAAAACCAACTGGTGGGTTTGCAGTCCAGTGCTTATCCTATAACACCATACACCAAGACTCCATGGTAGGCTGTAGTTCTCATCAATTGAAATGTATTATGTTAATTCTACTTCTCCATTTAAAAAAGGCAAAGTTTCCCCCCCAAAAAAAAAAAAAAAAAAAAAAAAAAAAAAAAAACTAAAAATTAAAAAAAAAAAAAATGTAAAATAATCTACACCAATTGATTTTAGCAAGCTGAAGAAACTGTCCATAGAAATGTCTGTAAACACGCATAGGAAAAACAAAGGAATATATTTAATGGATAACGATTATCTCCAAAGGATGGGATTACTAGCAATTTTTATCTTATTATTCTACTTTACTATGTTTCCAAAATTTCTCAATAACAAAGTAATTATAAGGACAAGGGGTGTTTAAACATTTAAAACTTGTCTGTACAAATAAAAATCTGTTTATATAACGAAATACGGTATATCATATCATTTCACATAAAATTATTTTATCAGTATCAATGAATCCAAGTTGTAAGGAGCTCTGGTAGTGTGTTAGAGTAAACGCTGGAGTGCTAATCACAAGGTTGGCAGTTAAGACCCACCAGCTGCTCCATGGGAGGCTTTCTGCTCCTATAAAGACGTACAGCCTCGGAAACCCGTTACACAGTCACTGTGAGTCTGCATCAAACTGATCACAATGAGTTTTATTTTGCTTTGTTTTTTTTGTTGTTTTTGTTTTTGTTTTGGCCAAGTTACATTACATTGATTGATCTTTTGCTTTGGGGAATAATATACTCTAGAGTACAGTGAAAGAGAATATTAGACCAAGCCAAAGACCCACAAAAGTTCCTCCATGCTAAGGACCTCATGGTACCATGTACCAAATGGCTTAGAGGGAAGTTTTCCTAAAAAGGATAAGCTTTCTCTTTGCTTGAGAACCAAAGACTTTATAGCCTACACATAAAACATACTCATTACCTAGTAATTATCTTAAAAGTGATTAGTTGGGATTTTAAGTATAATCTGTGAGGAAAAACTACAATCGTCCCCAATTATTCTTTAACAACCATATTTTTTATACAAGTAACACACACCTTTCACATGTGTTTGCTAACAGCTCCCTCTCACAGGAAGGTAGTTTTGTAAATGTGCTATGCTAATATTTTTTTACAATATTTAAAAAAAAAAAAATTGCATAGCTGCATTTCCTGAAAATCATACCTTCCAGGGCAAGGAAGGAGTTGACAAACAAACATAAAAGGTACATTTGATTTGCATTAAAAATACAGTACATATTTCATTTTGACTCCAAATTTTGAGAAACACAACTGTCAAATTGAAATTAAGCTTCAATATTCCCATTAAGGAACAAGAAGTGGTCTAAAATTCCAAACATTCTACAGTATAAACAATTATTAAAAAGTACCAGGAGGGTGTAATGAGAGAGAAAAAACTGCCCTATCTCTAGAAGCACGCACATGTCACGTTTGTGTATTTCTCCTTCTGACCTTTCATTTCCCTTACCTGTGTACATTTCTAGACATGTGTCTGAGAACTTCCATGTGACCACTACACCTGGATCCTGAACTCTTGAGAACCAGATGTGTGAAGCAACTGCTAATAAAATGTGGTGCAGAGACACACACACACACAAAAAAAATCCAGCCAAACGCCAAGGAAATTGGTTCATAAACACATGTTTTACAAGAGCTATCTAGACCCATAAACTCAGAGCTGTAAAAAACCTACTTCGATTGACTAAAAATAAAATGCCATATAATTTTGTGCATCAGACTCAATGGCGAGAGGTTAGAAATACTGTTTCCAGATTTAAACACAGGTGTTTCTAAAGAGTGGTTGATAAAGACCCTTCCCAAACTCACCTGCACTCTTGATATTTCTACTTGTGGCGAGTGTCTCCCTTCTCCAGATTCAGACCTTAAATCGAGGCCGGATGTTGAAGATGATTCAGCTTTAGAAGTGGCAGTCTGATCCTGGGAGACAACAGAGAAGGACGGTGTAGGAGAGGGGGCACTTCTCATCTCTTCTCTCACAGCTTCGTCCTTCTCATTCGACAAGCTGGAAGGTAGCTGGCTGGCATCTGGTTTTTGAGGAGTGTCTTGGGTTCTCTTACTGCTACCTGCATCTCCATTGTACTTCCAAGAACCATCCATCTAAATAGGAAACACCATTTTATACACGATATTTGATTAGCTTTTCTTTCTGTTTAAAAACCGTATTTGTTAAACTAGCTTTTAAAAAATATATAAAAGAACATGGACCACCCACACAATGTAACTATTGATAAAAGCCTGCTGTGCCTTTTCCTAAACAGATAGATTCATATACATAGGTAGTAAGAGGACTTACTGTTTTTACAAAAGAGATGATATTATAGACAGACTTCTGGAACTAGTTTTTTGTGCTTAAAAATGAACCCAAGAGTGACTCGGATCTGCAGTATTTGTAATTATTGGACACTACATAACATAGATGGAGACTTGCCAAGGCGCTGTGGGTTAATGGGTAATATGGATACCAACAATGTACTCATGTGATTAAAGGTTAAAATTGCTTAAAGTTTTCTGTAATTTCCAAAACTATTGCACCAATTACTCATACAGTTTTACAACCGGAAGTTTCATTTTTTATAGCACGATTTCCCAAAAGGAGAATGGCTGAGTCAAAGTTATGTATATCATTTCTAAAAAAAAAGTAGCAATGCAATTCTAAAGCAATGTAAAAAAGTACCCAGTTCTCTGCATTCTCACCAGCAGCAGACATTATCATTGTTTTACAGAGTTGCCACTCTGGTGAGTGAAAAGTTGTACATCTTATATTTACTCTAATTAAGTCAAACACACTTCTATGAACTGTTTTATTACCAGCATTTTCAGTTTCTTCTTGTTTGAGTTGGCTGTTTTCTCTACTCATTTTTTTCTCATGTTTATATTTTCTATCCCAAGTTGTAGTGGTGGTGGTGGTGGTGGTGGTGGTGGTGATGGTGGTAGTGGTTATGGCGCTATGGAGTTGGTCCCAACTCATATTGACCCTATGTAAGGTTTCCAAGGCTATAAATCTTTACGGGAGCAGAAAGCCTCATCTGAACCCTTAAGCTATAATGAATTTTGCTGATGTTTTTCTGAGTGTATATATTGTCTTTTGATTACGCTAATAGTGCTGCCATATAAATTTAATTTTTATGAAGTCAAAGTGTGTTCTACCTCATTAAGGCAAGAATGAGGTGTGTACCTTTACAATTCCCAGACTGGCCACTGTAAAACCATGGCAATGTCTGCTGCTAGCACAGAAGCGTGGTCAGCCTCATTAGACCATATTTTCTTCATGGTCAAGTGTTCCTGGCTAGTTCCGGCGGGCGTCCCTGCCTCAGCTATTCTGTTATTTTAGTGATATTTTTCCTTGTTTAGACTCTAAATTCTAAAGGGGACGTGATCACTGATTGTCATAAGACTATGTTGTCCTCATATACATAATTAAGCCAAACAGTCCCACTGCCAGGTATATAGTGGTGCCACTTCATTCTCAGGGCAAATGTTTTAATATTCGATGCCCTTCAAAATCCAAATATGGACAGAAATACAAGGAGGGGTTATGGGGAAAGCTTCAACATCTTTTCATTCCATTTTCCCACACACTCATTGAAACCCCTTCATATATACATTAGGTACTGGACTGCTAGCCAAAGGGTTGGTGGTTAAAAACCAACAGCTGCTCCTCGGAAACTTTATACAGGGTGGCTGAGTCAGAATCACTTAACAATAACATATTTATAAATATATTCAAATATATTCAGTTCCAGTGAAGTGAGAAATGTAGAAGACAGAAATTTTTAAGTCAGCACTGTAAAACACTTTGGTTAAACTACATGATATTTCTGTTTTGTAGGTCAAAAAGAATTGACTACTGGAATTTCCTTTTGTTCAATTCAACACATTACAAAAGCTATTTGAGAAAAATTGGCATTTAAAAAAAGCAAAACATGCATAGCCTTATAATGCATCACACTCTTAAAAATAAGGTGGCCTACACTAGCAGAATTTAAAGTTTATTCAATTCTCCAACATTGTTATATTCTAAGCATAAAATTTCTACTGATTCTCAATAGGTTAAAATCAAATTTTTTATATTGGTTATGCAGATATTACACATCTAGTACATATAAACTGAACCTCTACACAAGTCCACCAAGACTTTACTCTTCCCCACAGAATGAAACTGGGAACACTATTACCGTGTAGGATCGGGGCAGTGGTGAGATTCCCCTTGACTGAGAGCCAAAAGGTCTTGCTGTGACCACAGATGTTAACCTAGCTGTATCAGTTTTCTGGTAACTTCTAGGGAGAGAAGCTGAAACCCGAGTCAACTCCATTTGCGTATTCAGAAACTGCTGAGAAGACAAAGAGGCTGGGCCTTGGTCTTCTGCTGGGCTCTTGGAAGGCAACTGAATTTGAGCTGTTGTAGAGTCCTCTCTTTTTGCCAAGGTTGTAGAATATTCTTTAGAAATTTCTGCAGGGTAAGTTGTTGCCTTCTCTTCCACTCTCTCACTCTGGGGACTTGCTTCTGACAGAGGCAGTGTAGGGGACAGCTTTTCTTCATTCAATATATCATCAGAAGAATACAGTCTCCTTCTGGGTGTAATTTTTCTCTGATCACTGGTAGATATTTGATCCTGGTACTCCCTTAGTAGAAGGAAACACACCACAACAACAAAGTCAAGCATTTGGCACTCAGAAGTGGAGAGACAGAGGTAATGTTGGTAGTCAACATCTAAAATAGACTAAGAAAAAGACTGTTACTACTAAGCTCATGCAATAATCAATCCAACACTTAACAGAAGATGAGGATCAGTTGCATATAATTTTCTTTTGATGCAACAACGAATAAGGAGTGTACAGACTTGACTGTGGTTGAAAGATGCTGTCACAGCCTTCAGAGGAATGTGATTTTTAAAACCATAAGGACATTTTAATTTTAAGAAGAAAATGTGTTGTGTGTTGTAATTAACTGCCATCAAGTCAGTTACAACACATAGTGACCTAGTACAGGGTTTTCAAGGAGTGGCTGGTGGGATTGAATTGCCAACCTTGTAGCTAGCCGTCCAGTGTTTATCCAACAGCACCACACCAAGACTCCAAGGAAATTTTAATGTGAGCTAATTCACAAAATTTTATCCACAAATCTATAACTCTTACAGAATTGTTATTCTTGTTAAGTGCCATTGAGCTGGTTCCAACTCATAGTGACCCTGTATAGGGTTCCCAAGGAGCAGCTGGTGGGTTTGGACTGCTGACCTTGAGGTTCGCCATCTAGTACTGATCCTACAATGCCCCACCAGGAGTCACTTACAGAATTAGCACACCTAACAGAAATCTTATTCATGTGTCATTTCACTTTATTACACTGAAAACAACAACAACAACAAAAAAGTATACAAAGAAAAAAAAGTCCCCAGTGCTGTTAAGGAATTCCTATCTCCAGAGTACAAATTAGTTGTCACATAATATGCTATACTTACGGTGTTCTTAGAAAATTAGAACACCATAAATAGAACAAACTGTTTTTTTCCTTGTATACTTTTTTTAATGTAATAAAATGAAGTAACACGTGACTGGTTTCTGTTAAGATTACGTTAGTACAATATATGATTTTGTACAGGTTGACAGAACTTACATGAAAAATACTACTAATTCAAAGTTAGTATTCATATTTTGAGGTAAGTTTTTGAAACATTCTCATCTCTAACACTTAGTATGCTGTGCTTACTGCACAAGCTAACTGGGCTGCATTGAAATGAATGAAACTATGTTTATCACTGGCTTCTAAGGGAGTTTTGGTTAATTCTGACAGTCCATTTCCATTTTGACACTATTCTTTAAGGCATGTATTTGCTTCCTCTCTGGTTTATAAATATCCTAAGGTTTCACATACAAACTGCTTTTCAGGATAACCTGAATTGGATCTTTATCCTATTATTTTGCAATACCCCCCCAACCAAAAAAATCCCACACACATTTATGTTCATATGTTGTTGTTAAGTACTGCTGAGTCGATTCTGACCCATAACGACCCTTTATAGGGTTTCCAGGGAGCAGCTAGTGAGCTTGAACCACCAACCTTGCAGTTCAAACGACTTTGCAGTCTCATATAGTGCCAATAAAACAAGAAAAAAGAATTTTACTTTAATTGTGCCAATAAAACAAGAAAAAAGAATTTTACTCCTAAATTCTATTTAAGAAGGGAAAATGTCATGTTTCTTCAGCACCAAATACAGCTAACACCATCTAGTTCTCCCTATGGATGCACAAACTAAAATAAATACTTTTCATCCATAGTGGACACATTTCTTTTGTGAATTCAAGTCAGTGCTGTAGCCATGTTTGATTTTTCAAAGCAGAGCAAAATGCCAAATGTTTCCTTACAGATTCAGTTCAAGTTAAAAATTAGTGAACACATATCATGCAACAGTGACACAAAATAAGTGTTTCTAACAACAGTAACTTCCATCTGTGAACTGCAATTCATCTGTCTTACCTGTCCTGCAGCATCTCCTTAAATGTCTTAGAGCTTCTCTCAGACTTCTCAAGAGCCTGCTTTTCAATTTCTTCCCGCTCCTCTTTTTTCTTCTGCAGATCTGAAGTGTAGCTTTTTCGACGATCCTTCCATTTTGCAAGGTCCTGACAGAAAAAAATCACATCAGCACTGGCATACCTGAATTTCTATAAACCCTTTCTAGTTGCCAGAGCGTGCCGAGTATCCCATTACATCACTGAAACTATTCCCTCCAACTTGATGCCAAGGTGCCCTAATTTTGCTTTTTATAGCCAGTGTTTCTGTACTAAGCCTTTATCTCATGTGCCTGTCTGAAAAACCTGACCTAATAAGATAGACCCCATTTTTGTTTCCCCAGAAAGTGTTTGCTTCATTGCCCATTTCCCAAAGAATGTTAAATGCTTGTAATTAGGTGCCGGGTCAGAAAGATCAGTAATCATTGCAACTTCATTTTCAACTTACTCCAAATTCTGGCTGCTGAGTACAAATTATGTTGTTTTACTAATAAAAACAAAAATGTAAATGTAATGGTTAATTGTAGATGTATAATCTTTCACTTAACAGACACATACTCACTCCTTACTTTGAGTCAAGACCCAGTGCTGGGACACAGATGAGTAAAATGTTATTTCCTTTAAGTAGCTCTCTGCCAAGACGTTCAGTAAATATAATAGCATCGCATGGGAAAATTGGGGCCCAAAGGTCAAATCCACCTCAGGACAGGGAAGGCAGGGTTTGGAAAGGCTTTACTGTGGAGGCATGACTCAAATTTGGATTTCAAAGCTTGTAAACTCTACATAGGTGAGAGTAATAAAGAAGATCACACAGGAACAAGTTGGCACCTGCTTCTCATGCCCCCAGCACAGAATGCTTGCCTACCTGGCTAGCTCCCAAGTAAACAATCTAGTTGCGTTTTTAAACTACCAGACCTCAAGAAATTTTGGAAGGTCCAAACTGTTCTGTGTCTCCAAAAGAGAGACATGTGTGCTAGGATTGGGTAGTGCCTGACATTCTAACTCAATAAAGGTATATCCAACATCTCATTTTGCAAGAGCCTCACACAAAAGCATGCAAAGTAAGTTTGGTTAATACTCTTTGGGAGCAGGAAGGGCCACTCTTCCTGAACTGGCTAATGCAACAGGAATTTAATCCTTTAGGGTAACCAGCATGAATTTTCATCTGGCTTACCCTAATGGATAAGCCCTTAATATTCATGAATTCCATATGAAAATATTCACCATGTATTTTGGCCATGTGACTTTGAATTACTATTCCTTGACAATTAAATTGAGTTCCCAATTAAAAGAAGCACGGGAATTCAGAAATATGCAGTCAAGACCAGGGTTTGTACTTCATTCATCAGCTTTAATAATTCTGGAAAATAAAGATTTACTTTCTCTAGTCCTTTTGTTCGTGTTACCTCTTAACTCTCTTGACTATCAAGTTGTTCTTAAACATCCTTGGGTTTGCTCTGGTATAACTTATCTGCTTTCTTTCTTTAAAACCCTTCGGGTTATAGAAACTGTCCCTTTAAATAAAGGTCACGCTTTTGTAGGGTCAAAACTAAAGGTTATGTCGATACCCACGGAGATATCTGGATATATGTCCGCTCTATGAATACATCTAATGGAATTTTGATTCACATTTGATAATCACGTCTCAGCCTAAACAGTGCTTGGTAATGTATTTCTTATTTCTCCCCCAAGTGTCTTCTATGAATTCTTAAGAATCCCTGTCATCTCTTCCCTAGTAATTGTAGTATTCTGTCCTGGACCCCTTGCTCCTCTTCTATGTTAAACCTTGAGAAAGATATTTTTTTGACTGTTAATTATGGTTGCAAAAGAAAAAAAACTAACAGTCATGCTCCTAATTCAACTACCAATTTGATCTAAAACATTAACTGCACCTCAAGAAAGCCACTTCACTGTTTTGAGAACACACAGAAGATACCAGAGGAAAGGATAAACAAAGACAGTCTTTGAAATGTGACAGTAATAGGCTCAAAAGGTTTTAGCAACTGTTTTTAAAAAGCTGATCGCATTATTCTACTTGGTAGCTGAGTGACATAACATGCAAAAAAACAAAAACAACCATCTCTTGGGTATGATGACTTTCTTCTAAGAGAACAACAAGAAGTCAAATAAATACAACCTCCTCCCCACCAGGCTCAACCCCCAATTTAAAGAATACTCACATCCTGCCACTTCTGATCTTGCTCTTTTAATTGTGATCTTATTTTCTGCATCTCCTCGTAATGCAGCTGACGCAAGTTTTGAACTTCCTCTGCATTCACATCACTCACTGACTTACTCCTACAAGAAAAACACCTAAAGTTACCAGGGTTCACATGACCACATGGAAGCTTGGACTTATATTTGGAAATCCCTCCATCTAAATTTCTGCAGTGCTTAGACTCTGTAGCAATAGTATCACAGAAATAGCACTTCAGAGATAAATGGTGTTTTTTCCAAAGCGCAGAAACTAGAGCCTCACACTAAACTCAAGTATAAATTCTTTCAGAAAGTGACTAAACACATCTGAACACCTAACACAAAATCCATGTGTGGAATAGCTGATGAATAAAGGATGACTTTAGAAAAATAGTCAACTAAAATCACTTGTGTTTAGTTTTCTATCTCCCACAAAGAGATATCTTTTAACGTTTGGGCAGCCTTTTCTGGGCACTTATTAAATAATTTAATGATTACCTGATATTTTCTCCTCGAGTTTAATACCTTGAATAAGTGTGCTGCTGCTAAAGGAGTAGTTGCCAAGCACAACAGGTGATTGCTATTAAACAGTCATAATAACCTGTGTTAAGTGCTAACCCATCAGTTCTGATTCATAGCAACCAACACTTTATAGGGTTTCTGAAGAGCAGCTGGTGGGCTTGAACCTCTGACCTTGTGGCTAGCAGTCCTGTGTTGATCCTACAGTACCACACCAAGACTTCTGGATAGCTCTCTCTTTACATTAATGCAACTTTCATGCTTTCACACATAAACACCTGCCGTGAGTAAACACTAAGGACAAGCTCCACTACAGATGTTGCTAGCTGCCCACCATGCAACGCACAACTCTTGTCATTCACAGTTTTCACAGACTGATTTTTGGAAGTAAATCACCAGGTCTTTCTTGCTAATCTGTCTTCATCTGGAAGTTCGGCTGAAACCTGCTCAGCTTCAGAACAACACATAACAAGCCTCCCCTGACAGATGGGTGGTCACTGCATGGGTTGTACCAACCAGAGGTCAAAACAGGTGTCCTGTGTGGAAGGTGAAGATTTTACCAGTGATCCCAGGTCAGAGTAAAAACCAGCAAACAGAGTGGGGTGTTGAACACGAGACTGTGCGAGTTGTCTGCAAACACTCAGAAGGGGGAAATAAGCCACACTGGGAGACAAAGCAGAGATTGAGAAAAGTCCTCCCAGAAAGAAAGGTGTCAAGTCTGAATAGCTCCTTCCTGGAACCCTAAACTTTACCTTCATAATATTAGTTTTCTTCTTTTGCAGCATACTTGCCCCTAGCTAGCTCAGAAATTCAATATTCACCTCGATCCAAATATCCCAGGTCAGGATTAGCCTTTGCTTTGGCTCATTTACAATGCTCTTTGAATAGACATCTATGCAAGGACATCCCCCAGGCACCTCCACTGTAACCAAACCAAACTAATCCGACTGTCATGGAGTAGGGACAGACAGAACCACTCTACACAGTTCCTGAGGCTATAAATCGGTATGAATGCAGAGTGCCTTATCTTTTTGTCATGAACAGGCTGGTACATTTGAACTGTTGACCTTTCAGATAGCAGTCCAACACTTAACCCATTGGGTCACCAGAGTCCTTACCATTGTAACAGAGCAAACTGAAGTTAATACGTAGAAGGGATTTTGTAAACTTGGATTCTCTAAACACATGGTTATTATCAACGCAGTTAAGGTCAATCGTCTCCAGCCCTGTTTTATTCGCTGTGAATAGAGCCACCTACACTTCCAATCATCTACATTTGAAACCTAAGAACTACTTTTCACCTAGTTCCTCCCTTCTAGTCTTCTTATTCAGTGTCGTTTTCTTTCCATTTCTATTGCCAGCACCCTAGATCAAAGCACAATCACCTCTCACCTGGATGCCCAGAGAAGCTTCTTAAATTATCACCCAGCCTCCAGCACCAGTAAAGATCCTTCTCTTAAATTCCTCCAACTCAAAAACCTTTCACCCGTTACATATGTCTTAATATGGTGCTCATTCTTCAGGATCCTTATGAAACTCTAAACAGGTATCTGTGACTAGATAACTAACAGGTATTTCCAACTTCATTCATCTCAGACCACAAACATGGCTGTTCACCTCACAACCTCCTTATCTCCAGTCTTCCATCTTCCTCATCTCAATACAAATCAACTTCCCACTTCCAGACTTTTGGCTAAATTCACGGCTGCATCCCAGACTCCTCTCCCTTTCTTATACATTGCAGCCAATTCCAACACTCAATTTTGTCACTCGAACTCCTAATGATATCTAGGATGCAACCGCTTTTCCCCACCTCCAGGTTACCACCCTGATCCATGCCATCATTTCCCATTTGGCATTATTACAATAACTGGTCTCCCTGTTTCTGTCTCTTTCTGTCAAACAGAGTACTCCACACAGTCACCAAAGGGATCTTAAAAACTCCCCTCAGATCACAACACATCTCAAAGTATCACCAACTACTTGCCATCTTACTCTGGTCAAGTCTGTTCTCCCAAGGCCTTCAGGTTCTGTATTATCTGTTTCTTGCCTACTTCTCTTAGCATTTTTCCCATGGTGCTCCCTCTGCTCACTCTGCTCCAGCCACACTGGCCTCCTCACTGGAGTTCAGTCCGCTTGCTTCTCCCCTTGCTCATCGATATGCCTGCAATCCTTTTCCCCCCAAATCCACATGGCTTGTCTCACCTCCAGTGGTGCTGTTCAAACATTAAGTCAGGATTTCCCTCCATGACCACCTTACAAGAAACAGCAAATGCTTTTTTCCCCAGTTCACTTTCTCCTTTACTGTCTTTTTCCATAGCATTTATTAGAATAAATTATACACTAGGAATAAAAAAAATTATTTAAAAATTTAATATTTATCACCTATCTCACCTTGTAAAAATGTAAAACAGGAATTTTGTCTGACTTGTTCATTGCTATATCACTTTTTCCTGAAACAATTCCCAACCCTTTGTATGTACTCAATAAATGTTTTAAATTATCTAGATAACATTCTCCCACTTCAGTAAAATCTTCCAAGCTCTACACCTTATCAAAGTGGCCTTCCTCATCTCTCAACACTTCTAGTGTTTTAGCTATAGCTTTCTCAGAGTGCTTAACACTCAATTCTATATATTGTGTGTGCATGTGCACATTTACCTTATCTCTCTCACAAACACACTCGCATTAGCACAAAGCATACAGAGCATTCGTTTAACACTCACTGCAAGAATAAAGCAAGTTTTATCGTATTGAATCAAGGAAATTACATTAAATCAGAAATGTTTCCAATTGTTTTTTGTGAAGTGAATTATCATCCCAAAAAAGGTTTAAAAAAATCTTCGTACATTTTATTAAGGAATCTATTCTATATAGGGAGTGCAGTGACTCTTGAGATGAAGTATTAAACTGGAAACCACAAGATTAGCAGAGTTCAAGTCCACTAGATGCTCTATAGGAGAAAGATGAGGCTTTCTGCTTCTACAAAGATATACAGCCTCACAAACAGGATCACTACAAGTCAGAAATGACTTAATGACATTAACAATATTGTATGTAAAATATAAAAGAGAGCTTCAAAAAGTTTGTAAAAACATGGAATTCTAAGATAGAATTTTTCCACATACATTTGGAAACTACCTCATATTAGAGCATGTATGAGAAGATATGTTATGTGGGATATATATCAGAATAATATAAAGCTAAGTGTGGTGCTGTACAATAAGCACTAGACTGCTAACTACAAGGTCAGCAGTTCAGACCCATCAGCCACTCCTCAGAAACCCTCTATTTAAAATTGATTTATGTAAAATTTGAGACTATAAGTTTACTTCAGTTATAAGTGAAAGGAGTGAGAATAGTGTTAATACTACAACTGTTGTTAGTGTATGTGTATGCCTTTGAGTCTATTTCAACTCACAGAGACCATACAGGATAGAGTACGATACCCCAGAACGTTTCTTAAGCCATAATATCTCTATGGGACCACATTGCCAGGTCTTGTCTCTGGCAGGGCAGCTGATGGGTTCGAACCATTGACCATTAAGAGTCAGAATCCACTCGATGGCTTTTGGTGATGGAGGTATGATATAAAGTCAAATGTTTTCCAGGGCAGGGCTAAGCCAGGCACCAAAATGAGACAAGAGGAGTCTAGTTATAGGGATTATAATATAAATGGGTCTAGTTATAGGGATTAATTTCAAAAAACACCTGGTACTACATACCAAGAACAATTATTAAAGCAAATATTGCGTGGATCTCCAAAAAGCTAACTCCCAAAGCTGTTTAAATTAGTGAGGTCACCTCACACCACACTGATAAAATCTATAACATTCTGAGTGCGAGAGTCATTTAGTTGGGTCGTGAAGAATCCTTTTCTTATCAAAGTGAACAGAAAAATATTAAACTTTTGAGGACTTATTATTTACTAGTGACACTGCCAGTCAGTCTACACTAAGGCCTCATTTAGGTGTAGGCCTACACAGAATTTACCACCACTTGCAGGTCACTTGTCTGTGTCTCTCAAACATAAATATTACTTGTCTACCTCACATAGTGGTTACGAATTGGGCTGTGAACCTCAAGGTCAGCAGTTTGAAACTACCAGCTGTTCCGCGGGAGAAAGATGAGGCTTTCTGCTCCCATAAAGATTTACAGCCTCAGAAACCCTGTACAGGGTCGTTATGAGTCGGAACCGACGCCACAGTACATAACCATCACCTCCTCACAGAACTGTGATAACTACCAAAGATCATTGTTGTTAAGTGCCGTCAAGTCAGTTCCAACTTCAAGAGATCCTGTATATGGTTTCCAAGAGCAGCTGGTGCATTTGAACCGCCAACCTTGAGGTTCAAACCAATCTTGAGGTCTAGTGCTTTATCGCACAGCGCCACACCAAGATTCCACTACCAAAGATAGGGCCAGGACAGTTGTTTGGGAAAACAACAAAACTCTTAACATTTTTTGTGGAATAAGTTACTGTTCACTGGAAATCACATAATTATTTTCTTTTACTATTCACTTACCTGAGACATTTATATTTCCCTTATTTGGAGAGGCTTCAATTTAGAACTGCATTTGGATTTTTTCCAAAAAAATACAGGTCTAACACCCTGCAAATTCAGCTGGAAAAAATTTTTTAATAGCACTTAGGGGTGGAGATGGAGAGAGGTGAAAGATTAAGGGAGAAGGTGTGGCTCATGAATCAAGATCACTACAAATATTTTACTCTCTCTTCCCATTTTGTTTATCTACTAACTCTCTTCTGGCACTTTTTGGCTAGTGTTACAGTGCATATTAAGGAGCTTTGGAAGTGTAGTGGTTATGAGTTGGGCTGCTAATCTCAAAGTCAGCAGTTTGAAACTACCAACGGTTCCCTGAGAGAAAGATGAGGCTTTCTGTTCCCATAAGATTTATAGCCTCGGAAACCCTGTACAGCGTTGCTATGAGTCAGAACCAACTCCACAGCATATAGTCACCACCACAGTGCATGTTATTTTAGAGCCAAATCCAAAGATGAATTATGATGGTGTAAGAGACCAATGTAAACATTGCTAAATGTAAGATCACTGCTAACCTTTATACAGCAAATAGAAGTTCCTGAATATTAAGTGCTGGCCTCCAACTTTCAGAGACAAACATGAATATATGCATGTATGTGGAAACACATTTCTAGAGTTCTGGTGTGGCGCTATAGGATAAAGCACTGGACTGAAAGGACTGTTGAACTGCAAGGTTGGCAGTCCAAACTTACCAGCTGCTCCTTGGAAACTCTATACAGTGTTTGCTATGAGTCAAAACCGACTTGACGGCACTAACAACACACAACATATGGTGGCAGTGACTGTGCAATGTGGAGTCCGTTCTGACTCACAGCAACTTTCCAAGGCTATAAATCTTAACAGGAGTAGAGCGTTTCATTTCTCTTCCACAAAGCAGCTGGTAGATTCGAACTCCTGACCTTTCAGTTGGCAGCCCAGCTCGTAATCCACTATACTACCAGTATAGTTAGCAGCTCACCAGCTGCTCCTTGGAAACCCTATACAGGGTCGCTATGAGTCAGAACCAACTCACTGGCACTTCACAACAACAACAACCAGTATACAAGATTAAAAATATAATGTAGACTTATCACTGATAATGGAGTCCCAGTGTGGCGCTGTGGGTTATGCACCAGACTGCAAAGCCATTTGAATTGCAAGGTTCAAGCTCACCAGTCACTCCTCGGAAATCCTATACAGGGTTGCTCTGGGTTGGAACTGACTTGACAGCACATAACAACAACAACATCACTGATAATCTACCTCAGTGTTTCTCAAAAGCAGCATTATCGACAACTTGATCTAGAAAATGTTTTACTGTTAGGCACTGATCTATGCAGGATGTTTGGCACCATCTCTGTCTTCTACTTACTAGATGCCAGTACTCTCTGACACAAACATGCAGTTCCAACAAATGAAATGTGTCTCCAGGCATTGTCAAGTGTCCCCAGGAAGGCCAAATTGAGATTTCCTCTTCCACTGTGAGACCCTCCCACCTATAAACCTGCATTTCTTACTGATTTCATCAGAAAATAACTCACAAGTTTATTTCCTTCTTTTTTGTTGTCTTACATGTGCTTCAAATTCTGCAGAAACCTGTAGCCAACACACTATGATTGAATACGCACATTTTAACTATCTTTGGTTATGGCTTCACCTGGAGTCATTATTCATGTCCTGGTGATACTGGCAGCAGATTTAATGGCTTCATCATATTATAAGATAATTTATATATGCTTCTATTTTATCAGTTTCTGCCAAAAGGCATCATAACCAAGTTTTCAGATTTCCCGGAACCCTAAAGACATATAAATCCATGCAGCAGGAGCATGCACATATGAAATGCCGGCCACACAGAGAGCGTTCCACTAAAAGTCAAACAGGCAAACTGACAAGTGTTAAGTGCTAAATAATAAGCAAGGCAGACATGAACAAACCAAGACTTAAAAAGACAGCGCACATTTCTCTTTAGTGTGGGCCTTACCAAAGACAGCATTCAGGTTATAGGTGGTTAGTTTTCAACGGCAGGATGTTGAGCAATTATGTTTTTCCAAGTAAGCATTCCAAGCTTGATAACATACATTACAACCAGAGAAATATCACCCAGTATAAACATGAAACAGGTTCTAAATTAAAAGCCTACACTTAATTCAATTGACATCTATATTTTGTTGTTGTTGCAGCAAGATCAATTTATGGGAAGCGTTGGTAGTTGATACTATAAAGGATGGGATGGTAGGGGTGGGGAAAGCCCTATATGATAGATTTTGATTTCCAGGGATCTAAAACACACTTGAGTTCTCTGAAGGCACAGCTGTGTTCCTTTCCATTATCTGAAAAGTCATGCATTATTCATCAGTCTCAATTTACAGACAATCTTGCTTTATTTGTACAGTTGCTTTGGCACTCAACTGCATGGGGAACGAATGGCCTTTAAAAACAAATACTGTACTATCCAAGCAAGAATCTTGATACAGTCTACAGAAAGCATTTGTTGCTGCTAGCTGTAGTCCAGAAAAATCCTTAGCTTTGTCAGCACTGGCATTTGGGTTCTATTTTTCTTTTCACAACTCAATCATGCAATGTATTCCTCAATAAGGGGAGCAACACAGAGTCACTGAAATAGTTGTCAATGTTTACATTCTATTCAAGTACTTGTAGCCAAAGAAGTATCCACTTTAAGAATCCACTATGGGTACCTGTTTATATCATAAAGTCTTATTTCATTTACAATGAAAAATTCTTTAAAAGTTGTCATTCAAAATCCTTAAAGCTGCAAGAGGATGTTTAATCAAGTTAAAACAGGTTTCCCATGATTCATGAAGAGCAGCAGATGCTAAGCATCACACTGAGAGTTGTCTCATTCACCCTAACTGATGAAAAATGCTTTAAAGCAGGCGAGGAGACAAATAGAGATCATGTGTCTTCACGTGGTATGTTTAGACTATGCTGGGACCTGTTTTAAAATCAGAAACTGAGAATCACTTGCAATTAAGATGTCCATGTCTCAATGAACCCTTTGGCATCTTGCATGCTTTAAATAGTAAAATTTGTAGCATCCAAAGGCTTCACAGGAGAAAGATGTGGCTGTCTGTTTCTGTCAGGACCATGGACTAGGAAGCCCTATGACACAGCTCTACTCAGTTCTATATGCAATAGCACTTAACGCTTGTCAGTTTGCCTGTTTAACAACAGCAAGCAACTCAATGGTTTGGTTTATTATGTCTACCAGATGACCAGAATTAAGTAACAGTAGACAAAATACTGATAATTATAAATATTAGCACCTGAAGCCAAAAGTTTTAGAACCTGCCAAGACACTTAAATTAGAAGGATTATCTTGCTCTATAACATAGCCATGATGGCATTTAACCTAAGCAGGTTTCTTGAAAATGTTTCAAATGCCACTAGGGATAGATTAATGTCACTCCCTATCCCTATTAAAAAGTGATCTATGAGTTAAAGCCTATGGATAATGCTAACCACACATATATTAACCTCAAAGTCAATAGGTATTGTTTCTATCCAACTTTCTAAAACAGTTATTTGGGTGTCAACATTTACTACTCGGGATCATTTAATCCATGTAGCAATTCCAATACCACAACAAATATGCCTAACCTGAGGCAAGTGCTTTTGTTATCTTTAATCAACTTCTTCATAGGTAAAAGAAAAATAACACATGAAACTGAGTTTTAAATTGTTAATAGAATGAAAATTACTGCTATCTTACAGTACTTCATGTACTGGGCACTAAGACACAAAAATATTACTATTAGATTGCCAAAAGAAAGAAAAAAAAAACTTTGCAGGTTTTAAAATCTCATGCACAGCACACAGCACCCCCATTTAGTGGCATGCCAGAATAGAAGTACAGCTCCACAATATGCAAAGGACAAACAGTATGCAAAGAGTTTTGCTTTTGTTTTTTATTGTGAACCATGAAACTTACCCGTTCTCACCATAAATCTTTTGAAAGAGTCTGAGAAACCAGAAAACCAAAAATTAAAACTTTTTTTTTTTTCAGTTATGTTAGTTTCTAAATGTTCAAGGTCTTTTACTAAAGATGGACAAATCTCAAAAGGTTACTTTCTTCAACCTCATTTTTATGGTGTTCCAAGTTCTCACCAAGGCTATAGCTCAAGAAAGCCAGATTTTAGCAAGATGTGGGGTTTATTAATTTACTTGGAACAGACAAGTACATAAGAAAAGGCTTCCTGTTCTTAAAAACCAATAATAAATTAGATTTGTGTCTACTAATTGTATTCAGGGTCCTGGTATGGTACTGTAGGATAAGCACTGCACTGCTAACTGCAAGATCAGCGGTTCAAACACAACAACCACTCCTGGAAGCCCTATAGAGGGTCACTGTGAGTTGAAATGGACTTGACCGGAAACAAATTTTATTCAACCTAATCACATTTGTCCATCTTCAAGTTCAACAAATTGATCATTCACCAAGAAGGCAAGTTGTTTAACACACAAATGCAGACTCAGCTATTATTAAAATGACCGTAATTATATACAAATGAAATTCATGCATTTTTAACATCAATGGTTACACCGAACTTGAAGCTAGAAATAAGTCTAAAATTCATGGACTAAGAAACCTAGGCCAAAAACTGAAAATCTAGTTAAATAAAATTTGCAATGCCATATTTTGTGAAAAACATATAAAACCAAATTACAACCAGTTTGTTTCAGAAATAGAGGCCCAGACATGAGAATAAAAGTCTTTAAATGTAATAGCAAAACATGTTCCTGAAATTCCATGTTGACAGAATAGTATCATAATCTTGCTTAAGACCAAAGGCAAGATTTATGTATATACTTTCTTACTCAAGCCTAACATAAATAAAATGTAAAGATGTACTAATATGGAATTGCACTTTTTCCATGAAATGATTAGAAGCTTCTCAAAAGGGAGAAAAAATAAAAGCCTATTGGATGCTTCAAAAATGGCACATAGCATGCATGGTTGAGCAATACGATACTGTGTTCTCACACACGAGAAGTTACAGGAGACCACTCTGACCTCTCCACCAGCAGCCGTTTCTTGTGCCTAACTCTGCTGGCTTCACGGATGGCCTCCCACTTCTTCAAGTCCACTTCACTGCAAGGACCAGGGATGAAGCTGAGGGGAGGCACGGCAGTTCCCAATTTCCAAGACTGGATCTTACGGGTCAACATGTCATCTTTATTTTGTTGATACGTAGGAACTAACACTCTACAGCTATTACTTTTTTCTTTTGATGGGCATTTCCTTTCAAATGCACAGAGAAATTTTGCTTGGATTTCTGGAGGAAGAGTCCAGGGCTCTGGGAAAGGTACTGGCTGGTATCGATCTGGGGCTCCTGACAGAGGCACCTCTTTCTTCTGCGTTGGAATTCGGCGAACAATCATATCATCTTTCTCTAAATCTGGAAGTACTGGTTCACCTTCTCTGCATTGCAAAATTATATCTCGCTCTACTGGATCATCTTGCTCAGAGAACCTTCTAAAATCTTCAAAGGCCTGGAGAACGCATGGATTTGCATGGAAAGCCCTAGTTCTCCTGACAAAGAAATCATCATTTTCTAAGTCAGGATCCAGGGCCGACAGGTCGAGGCCACCTCTTCCGTAACCTGGTGCGTAAGAGAGATGCTTTCTGCGTGTTATGAGTCTTGGACCAGAAGTGGGATCAATTTTGATATTTGTTTCAGAGGATAAGATGTCATCAGAGTATGTCTGAAGGGCCTGAAGTAATAAAAACTGACTGAAGCACAGAAAAGAAAAAGGGAAAATCTTAATAAGTTTGGGGGGAAACACATAGCTAGGTAGCAGAACAGTGAGCCAGGCTTGGGGCAAAATATTTTATGGAGTTATGGGAGGGGCTCTGGCTTGGGAAAAAGACTAGCATTTAATGCTATCACCAGTGGCTTCCCTTGATATTGTTTTAAAAAGAGTATACCTTCCAGGAAAGGTGGACACTAGCAAGGCAAAGAGATGAATTGGAAATGTGGATCACCTTCGATATACACACTACATTCCCTTTGCCCCCAGCTTTATTATGTTAGCAACAGAGACTTAATGCCCCTCCTAGAAAAGCAGCAAGGATCTTGAAAAGTTTCAAGTGTTGGGCATCATGCAATTTATGCAATAGGCATATGTAGTTGGAAGGGGGTGATGGGGGAACAAATGTTCTGTTGTTGTTTTTTCTTTGCATTGCTTTTCATTAACTTGCCCTTCCCAGTCTCCATCTAAAAGTTATTTCCTTTCTCCATATCCATACATAACACAAGTCTAAATTAGATAAATTCTTTAAAGTCTTTTAGAAATCATTTTCCAGAGAACTGGCAATTACATCACGTGTAAATATACAGTCTTGCACATTACTGTGCTAAATAAGAACGTTTAGTTCTCTAAATTACCAAGCTCACATGCTCACACAGAAAGCACTGTTTTATACATTATGTTTTTATACTAAATACATGAACTAAGTTATGATTTCATGGCTTCGCATAGGCAGGTCACAGAGAGTATGTTAACTCAGCAGTAGCAGGCATGAGCAGAGGTCGGGGGCCAGGCTCCAAGCAGGAAGCTCATGCAGATGGTCCACCTGGGAATATTCGAGGCACCCCTGGGGCTCCTGACTGCATGTGCATCCCAAGATTTCATGGCCCGTTTGGTAGCTAGTTCCAGCACAAGTGAGCGTCTTTGGCAGCTGCCATCTGATCTAGGCTCTGCTTTTTGTGTTTTACTAAAAATGGCAGAGCTTCCATGAGAGCCTGGGTCCTCATCCTCAGAGTCTGAATTCCTTCTATGGCGAAGTGATATGGAAAAAGGTAGGGAGAGAGAGGGAGACAAAGAGCTGAAGAAAAAAACCACTAAAAATAATGCCCAGTGCGGACTATGCCTGTATGAGGACTTTTTAAGATCCAGAACCTAACATGTTTAAATTTAAACAGCAATTCTTTTGCATTACAGTATTTCTAGGGAACATTAATTAACCTTTCTCTCACTCTCTTAAAATATGTATCCAGACAGTACTGAATGAACATCAGGACAACAGAAACATGCACAAAGACACACCTGAATCCCTGAAATTCCTTATACCATGGTTTATAAGTTTCCCTTTTTGTTCTTTTCCAGGTCACATCCTCTGGGGTTGAATATTTGGGAAGAAACTGATCAAAAGTATTTCCTGGGTTTGGCATGATAGGACTTAGCTTTCGTACATAAAGATCATCCTTTACAATGTTGGGTATGTTTGTTGACTTTTCTTCTTCCTCTTCCAAATAACAAAAGGAACTTGAAGTTTCTTGTACTGTTGACCAGCTTTCCATGTTTGTGCCCCAAGTCCTCCTCTGGTTACTGTTCAAAACATCCAACCAGTTAAGATACTGTATGAGCAAGGTGTTACAGAGAACACAAAGGCATGCTTTCCGGCTCACATTCATGCCACTGTAAATGAAGCAAATTAGTTCCCATTCTCATCATCACAGGTCCTACAACAAAGTTAAGGCACTGTACCAGCATCTCATTTTAATGGGAGAACAGCTAGATACACCACAAGGGCCAAAGATATTCAATTAGAAGCTGTGTTAAAAGAAAGAGACACATTGCAAACAATTTGAGGTGTTACTTTTTGTATTAAAATCAATGGTATTGTAGGTATTCAGACCCAGGATAAATATTCCTGACCTCGTCAGCTTATACAGTCCAGTGGCTAATGAATCAGCAGGAGAAAATGTTTGTGAACAAGACTTAGGAGAGATGGTTTTCAAGACGAAGCCCTCAGGCCGCTTTTTCACCTGGAATCTACGGTTGGCTAAGTCATCCAGAATTACGTCAGGCAACCTTCGTTCATCCTCAGTGTCCGAATCACTCTCAGAACCACACAACTCCATCTGATAGGATGCTGGATTTGAAAACACACACTCTGCTCTGCTAATTTGATGGGAATTTAGAGGAGTCTTTTCATGTCCACTGAGATCAATCAAGACAGGGGGAAAAATGGAAGAAAATAACACAGCAGAGCTCACAGTGAATATTATGCCATCCCATAGAATAAAAAGATATACCAAGAAGCTGAAGGCATGCAGCTAAGAAAAGAATGGGTAAATCACATAGTAGACATTTTTAAAATGGAAGGACTATCTGCAAGAGGCAGATGACTGAAAATAGAGATAGGAAGGAAAAAATTTCATTAAATAAAACTCAACAGATTATCTATGAAACACATTTTTAAAACCCACTGCTTTTACCACATTTAAATATCCCACCCAATTCATAAGACATGCTGAAAATCATCTCACACGCCGATACCTTGAAAATGTTCCATCTGCTTCTGTATAGACTGGGCTTGCCCAACTTCTTCTGTTATCCTCATTCTTGTCCGGTCTTTTCTTCCTCAAGGGTGCCGGCACATATGATGGTTGTCTACTTTTGTTGGGTAAAAAACGATTGAATGGTAAAGCAGACTTTGGTTCGATAGCTGAAGTCCTTCGATATGACATATCATCTTTATTATAATCCTGCATCTTGAATGTAAATTCAGAATCTGTGTCACTTTCACAACCTACAAAAATAAGGCACAAGAATTTGCTTTACTCTCCAGATTCTTCATCTCACTGAAACCCACACAGCCTGCCTGCTTTGTCTTTCCCTTGGAAACTCAGTGCTGCTACTGTGAACTGCGGGGAATATTTTTAGAAATTTGTCATGAAGTTGTGATAAGATCCTTTAAGAGGAATTTATTTTGCATACTAGAGGAACACAGGGTATTCTTTTGCTGTTGCACATTCTAAGCAGCAAAAGCCCCCATTTATCGCCAAGTCCCCCACCCACCCCTTCTTCCCAATCTTCTGTGCACAGTTTTCATAAAATGTGTTGATGTAATAAGTGTGGAAAAAATCTGCTAGTTAAATCACAGACACTTAAAATGGGATATAAACGTCATCCCAGAGAAACTGAGGAATCTGAAGTAAGGCACCCAGCTCATCAAAATGTATGTGAGAGGAGAGGGCAGGCATGAAACAAGAAGCAGATGCATGAGATCACAAAGGAAGCTGGGAGCTCTCAAGGAGGCCTGCCCTTATCCAAGAATCACACATTAGATGTGCATTGGGCCAGATGACTCCTAAAGTCACAAAGGAATCTCAAGTCGTATGCCTAAATGAGAGCACAGGTCTAAAGATATTTGACTCAGTCCATGGAAAAGATGTTGGGGACGTTGTGTTCTGACCCCAAATAAACATACTTCAAGGTCAGATAGATACAACTTTTAACGTGCTCTCAAACATTTTAAACAGAAAAACAATAAATATCACCTGTTAAAGGCATATGCAGAAAAGAGCATAGAGACCACCATGGTGAAGCCAAGCAGAGTTCTGGACTCTTCTGAAAACCTCTGTATACTTTGCTAGCTTCACACCCAAGTTCTCTCAGAGGCTGGCTATTCACAGTAGCTGGCAGCAAGCAGAGCACCTGGAGGGTTAATCTATCCTAAGAGCAGTCTGGTCTCCGCCCTCCTGCCTGGCAGGAATCTATGGTAAATAACCCAAAGAATAGTCTACAGGAAGTAGCTGAACATAGAGCTGGGAGACAGGGCCGGGGAAGAAGGAAGGTCATAGTGAGAAGGCACAAACTATAAAGCAGCTATGCCCAGAGGATTAGCAGTCCAGAATCCACTGCTGTGTTTGTTTCATCACCTCCTAAATACATTAAGGAATGTCTCTCGTTTTCAATAAATGTACTACGGATTCTTGCCAAAGTTTGCACATGTGAAATTTTTTATCTAAAATAATAAATCATTCTGCTTTTGCATTATTAAAGTTAAGATCTTTTTTGGTGTGTTGTAGGGGACAGTACAATGCCCCACACTATAGGCAAATAAGAGGTTTCACATCAAACACAGGAGAAAAATATGGCAGTCTGCTTCTGCAAAGATTACAAACTTGGAAACACCATGGGCAGCTCTACTTTCTCCTACAGGATCACTAAGAGTCAGAGCTGACTCAATGGAAGTGGATTTGGTTTAATTTTCACATTAAACTAATAAATTTTCATTTATAATCTTGGTATACTAAAAGTTGTTGTTGTTGTTGTTGTTGTTAAGTGCCTGTGAGAACTGGTTCCCACCCACAGTGACCCATATAGGGTTTCCAAGGAGCAACTGGTAAGTTTGAACTGCTGACCTTGGGGTTCAAACCGATTTTGTGGTCCTGCGCTTCTTATACACCACCACATCTACATTGTTGTGGTCACAAATTTGGGCTACTATGAGATGAGTTGTTGTTGTTCAGTACCATTGAGTCAGTTCTGACCCACAGCAACCCTCTAGAGGGTTTCCAAGGAGCGACTAGTGAGTTTGAACCACCAACCTTGCAGTTCAAACTGACTTTGCAGTCTAGCATATTAACCCACAGCACCACACCAGGACTCCATGAGACGAGTAGCAGTGTTTTTAATATATGAATCTCAGAAAAGCTACTATACCATCCTGGTGGTCCTGGGATAATACTTTTCACTTGTCAGTTGTAATTACCAACACTTACCTTCCACAATCAGAACATTGTCTGCAACTCCTCTCCCAAGATCAGGAAGCAGGGAATAGTCAATGGCCCTCTGCTTTATTAATATGCACCAAGTACCCTGGTGTAAAGGATAAGCACTGTATTGCTAGCCACAAGGTCTGCAGCTCAAACCCACCAGCTGCTCTCGGAAACCCTATATAGGGTCGTTATAAATCAGAACACAACAGCAAACAAGTATCCCTGATGATGCAAAGGTTAATTAAGCATTTGGCTGCTAACTAAAAGGTGGAGATTCAAGACAAAAGACCTGGCAATCTTGATAAAATCCTGTCACATGGCATCTTTATGAGTTTGAATCAAAATCAACTCAACAGCACCCAACACCAACAGGCACCTCATTCAACAAGTACCTAACATGAGGACACCATTTAGCCACTGGATTTGAAATGACTGAAGCTTGTATATTTCCATACATCCTCAATCTTTGTTCTTTTCATTCTTTGCTGTCTGGATAAAAATTTAAACACTGCATGTTTCATGCCCTTCATTCAGGACAAATTACTACAGTGGGTTGAGAATTTCAGCCTCAGGATTTAACCACTCAGATGAACCATAAACTCAAATGCACTTCCTTGAACGTATTGTAATAATCATCTAAGAAAATGTCACATTCCCAGAGAGCAGTCAACAAATGCAGCAGTCATTTCAAAAGTTAACCCTTTAAACAGTCATTCACTTTTCTTTATTGAGTTTTAAGTACTACTACAAACTGCAAAGCCGTTTGAACTACAAGCTCGGTCCTTCAAGCTCACCAGTCACTCCTTGAAAATCCTATGCAGGGTTGCTATGGGTCAGAAGCGACTCAATGGTACTTAACAACAACAACTATTAATGTAGGAGTCCTGGTGTGGCACTGTGGGCTAATGCGTCAGACCGCAAAGTCATCTGAACTGCAAGGTTGGTGGTTCAAGCTCACCAGCTGCTTCTTGGAAACCCTATACGGGGTCGCTATGGATTGGAATCAACTCGATGGCACTAACAACAACAACAACTATTAATGTATGGAGTCCTGGTGAGGCGCTGTGGGTTAATGTGCCAGACTGCAAAGCCATTTGAACTGCAAGATCAGAGATTCAAGCTCATCATCTGCTCCTTGGAAACCCAGTATAGGGTCGCTATGGGTCAGAATCGACTCATCAGCACTTAACAACAACAACAACCCTATTCATATACAGCTCTGGTAGCATAGTGGGTTACAAGCTGGGCTGCTAACCACAAGGTCAACAGCTCAAATCTATCAGCTGCTCCGAGGAGAAAGATGAGGCTTTTTGCTCCTGTAAAGATAAACAGCCTCAGAAACCCAATACAGGGCTGAGCCAACTCTATGGCATACAACCTGAACCAACTCTATGGCATACAACCTGAACCAACTCTATGGCATACAACCTGAACCAACTCTATGGCA